GCGCTATTTCGAGACTGCAGCTGCGCTGCTCATCGGCAATGAGGCACAGCGCTGGAGGAGTCCAGCGCCGAGGAGGGTAGTGGAGTTAGAGAGAGAGAGAGAGAGAGCCAGAAAGAGAGAGAGAGAGAGAAGAGGACTTACCTGTACCAGCGCCATAGCTGGCTCCGCGGTACCTGCAAGTTCAGCCATCGCCAGGTAAGTGCAGAAAGCGCCTAGCTTTCTTCTTCTTCTTCTTCTTCTTCTTCTTCTTCTTCTTCTTCTTCTTCTTCTTCGTCTCCTCCTACCCCTCTGAAGTTCCTCTTTTTCTTCTTCTTCTTCTTCTTCTTCTTCTTCTTCTTCTTCTTCTTCTTTTTCCTCAGAGTAGAGATAGAGGTAACTGCAGACATTGTTTGGACACGGCGTTCTGCCTTATTGGACACGACATTCAGATCGGACTTACACTCCACATTGGGATTGAACTCTGTACGACATTCGGAGATCAGACTCGGGTTGGACTTGGTTACCTCTTATTTCCCTCCCCCTCCTCTCTCGCATGTCTATGGATCTCTCCCCATGTGTGTGAGCGGAAGGGCAATCTTTCTGATGTCCTGCCCTTCCGAAGTTTCTCCCTTTCATGTTGTTGTCCACGTGTCCTTTGATACTAAATCTTCCGCTGYGCTGCTTCCCAGCCCATGATGATAATGATACGAATGTGTTGTTGTTGTTGATTCTCGTTGGTTAACTCTTTGCATCGTAAACATTAGCATCTTGTAAATGTTGCATCTTTGCTGCTGGTTGTTGCCACTTTCGTCATTGCTAGATCCTGGGCTCTCAGTGCATTTCACTTTCTGATATGCTACACTCTCTCTCTCTCTCTCTCTCTCTCTCTCTCTCTCTCAAGAGGAATACTTACTGAGGGCAGAGCCTTGAGCTGCTATGCAATGCAGGTACAACGAAGAAGAAGGCTGGGTATGGCCGGTGGCAGACCTTCAGGCAATTGGGCCAGGTGAGTGGACTTGTCCACTAGATCCAGCTGTCCCTACGTCTACTCAGCTCCACTGCTGGCCTGCTCTACTTGTCAACCAGCAGCTTTTCTGAATTGACATCTGTGATTTATTGCTCGGACTCCTACCTGGAGAAGAGGAGATGTGGCATACTGCGTAGCCACACGGGCCCTGCAGGGCCTGTCCCGGACATTCAGCCTAAAAGCCTAAAACTTAGGGCTTACAGGCCCCGGTCGTTTCAGCCAGAAAGCTGGAAAACGAGGGCCTGCAGGCCCTACTCCGTTTCAGCCTATTTCTGGGTCTTTCAGACCCAGAGTTTTTCCAGCCTGAAACGGAGGGCCATTTTCAGGCCCTCATTGTTTCGACCTGCCCCTAAAACTCAGGCACGTACACAGGGATGTGGAACAGGCCAAGAATAGCCTGTTCCTCACATGCTCGAGCAGGAGCTGCAGCTGCAGCCCCTGCATGCCTTCGGCATTGTCAAGAGCAGCCTCCTGGGCTGCTCGCACGAGTCAGGAGGCACACCCGAGAAGTACATAGGACTGTCCTAGGCACTTCACGGGTAGGGTAGTCAGTCAGTAGTCAGGTGTAGTCTTCAGGATAGCGGAGCAGCACTCGGAGGAGCGCTGCCCAGGGTAGCTAGCGCTAGAGGTAGTCTTCAGCGCTGGGCGCCATAGCTGTAGTCTTCAGCGCTGGGCGCTGTAGTAGTAGTAGCAGTGGTGATATGGGAGAGAGATACTGGCGGGGGCCAGTGGCACTTACCTGTGGCGCCATCGCTCCAGCTCCATCTTCGTGATACCTGCATCAAGGCGCCAACTTCACAGATTCGTACTGGACTGAGAGAGAGAGAGAGCTCTTCTTCTTCCTCTTCTAAGTCCACCACCTCTTCTTCCCCTCTCGCTGCCTACTGCTCAATATCTGTGGACTACGAGAGAGAGATACAACTTGAGACTTGACGACATTGGATACAGACTCAACATTTGGGATTCAGACATTTTGACAAGGGACTATTTGGGCCTGTGCCGAAGACTTGGTGTTTACGACATTCCCATCTTTCCCTCCTCTTCGTCTAACCCCCCTCATCTTCGTCTGTGTATGTGTGGGGCTGGCGCAGTCTTCCTGTGTGAAGCGCCAGACCCCTTTCACACCCTGGGATGATGATGATGATGTATGTTCTCGACTGCATTGTAACATTGATTGATCGGATCATTGGTATCTAAGTCTTCCGTTTGCGCCATCTTGTACTTTGCATTGAGAGGTCAGTTCTTGTTCTGTCTGCACCTTTACGGTATGCAACAGGAGATTACAATTGAGGTGAGGAGAGGAGAGGAGATTATTGTTCTTCTTCGGCGCTGCCATACATTGCCTCTTCTCCCTCTTCTTCCACATCCCCCTTCCTCCATCTCCCACCTGACATATTGTGTTCGTGTGATAGTAGACTGCCGCTTCTTCTCCTTCTTCTTCTACATCCCCCTTCCTACATCTCTCACCTCACATATTGTGTGTGTTTGTGATAGTAGACAGGAGGTCTCTCCTGTGATTTCTATATTTTTACTCCTCCCCACTGTGAATGAGATCAGACCTGAATCAGTGTGCCTCATCACCATTTTCCTCTATCGTCCGGTCAGTCCCTGTCTGATCTGAATCTTCCCTGTGTCACATTGCACCTCTTTCTCACCTTAAGGATCCTTGGACTGGGCATTGTTGCAGTTCATTTCCCACATGCATCACAAAGGGGAGGCAAAGGCAAGGGGAAGGGCGAGAGCGAGAGCGAGGGCAAGGGTAACAGCAAGGGCAACAGCCAGGGCAAGGGCAAGGGCAAGGGCAAGGACAATGGGAACAACAACGACAACGGCCATGGCAAAATGACAACAGCAACGACAACGGCAACGGCAACGAACAACGGCGACGGCGACAGCAACGCGCAAGAGCGCAAGGGCAACGGCGACAGCAACAGGCAAGAGCGCAAGGGCAAGAGCAAGCCAAGGGACACGGAAGTGAACCAAGAAAAAAGAGTACCTTTTTTAACACGGGTCAAAGAAGTCACACAATGCAGAACCTTAATTACCAATAAAGCTACTCGCCAGATTGAGTACGTACCCAAATATATACACCCTCGTCTGTTCCATCAATTATCTTGCAATCCTCATCCTTGAAACTGAAGCTGTACTCATGTGCCAGCTTTCTGACCTGCAACCAAGCAATGTTTCAGTTAACGACTGTCAAAGACCTTCTCACATTCACGTTCACAATGCTACTTATCAGACAGACCCATTTGCAATCAAACGTTTTGAAACTTTCTCACCTGACTTTTCGGAAATCTGCCACTAAAATTGACAGAGCTAGTCGATTGAGTAGTGTTTCTGAGTTCTTCCTTTTTTTTTTACATATTATTATTAATATTTTTATTTTTATTTTTTTATTTTCTTTAGACGATGCTCCAATCTATTCGTGGGGAGCAACACGACTGGGAACCGGGCCCAGCGTCCCTTGTAAGAATGCAAAAAATGAGCTGCCAGGGCCATTACCCGGCTTCGGCTAAGAACAATTGAAGAAAAAGGAAGAACTCAGAAACACTACTCGATAGACTAGCTCTGTCAATTTTACTTCACTCTAAAATCAACTGACACGTACCCCACCCAAAGACTTCCACCTTCTCGTCACTGGACTTCGTCTCGGGAATATACCTTGACTCATGCCTCAAAGCCTATTCAGCACTTCTAATGGTCGAGAACTTGCACAACACTCAGTAGTACACAGCCAAGCTGTGCACACCAAAAGCTAATCAATTAGCAGAAAAAGAATGCCAGTGGGTATCGCCGCTGCACGCTGCGAGGAAGTGTACTGCATGGCCAATGGAGTTGGAAAAGTTTCAGAGGAAGGGAGGGAGGAACGGTGGGTGAGAGAGGGATCTTTGCACATCCACTCGGCCAAGGTCAAGAGAGACACAAGGACATAGAAAAGGCGTTGCATCCCACTCACTCTTTGTCTCTGCTACTGCTCCTCGCGATCTCCTCTACACTTCCCATCAATCTGTGAGACATTGACAGTCCGAATTGGAGTACACTGCACTGTACACCTCTCTGGGAGTCTGCCAATTATCTGCATCCAGAAGAACTCTGGGATCGCAAACCTGGTCTTGACCACCTGGTTACCTTGTTTAGGGATGCGCAGAACCATGTTACATAGCTGGTAGCTGTTGACGACAGCATAAACGACATACAATCAAACTGCCAGCCGAGCCTTTGCAAAAGCACCCGCCTGAGGGGGGGGAAGGGGTTAGGGAAGGCAGGAGGGTCTGTTTCGCACAAGTGTGGTCCAAATTGTCTGTTTCAGTGGATGGAGAGGGGTTTGAACCCCCGATAATTTGGTAAAATGTCAGTTTTCAAGATGATGGGAGGCTTAAAAAAAAAAGATGGTGGGAGGCGGGGGGGAAAGCAGGTCTGTTTAGCACAAATGCAGTCATCACATGTATCTTTTTCCCTTTTTTTCTCACGGGTACTTTCTCCTTTTTGGACACTAGCACACCAGCACGGTACAAATTCATGTCAGCACCTTTTTCAGCTTGTGGATGGGTTTTCACCAACCAGATTCCCGGTGTCCAAAGAGGGTGCACCAGCCCCGCTCTACAGAGGGTACAAGGTACTGGGTACTAAAAAGCGAACCCCTTTGGTGTCCAAAGGGGTTGCACCAGCCCTGCAATACACCTTCCCCTAGATTTTCCAGCTCGTGGATGGGTTTCCCCCGGTGTCCAAAGAGGGTGCACCAGCCCCGCTCTACAGAGGGTACAATGTACTGCGTGCTAAAAAGC